TTCTGACTTTTGCATAGTTGAAATTATTCCCCCTAGCTGCAAAGCAAATCTGATAGAATGTTACCGTGCATCAGAGGTGATTAGCTTTGGCCTCCATGAAGTTTTCTCAAAAGTCTGATGTGTACAGCTTTGGAGTCCTACTGTTGGAGTTGCTCACAGGCAAGGATCCTTTAGGTGTCCTTCCTGAAGATTTAGACTTACCTAAGTGGGTAAGGTCAATGCTTCAGGAAAAACCCATTACGGATATGTTTGATGCTTGTTACAAGAATATGATAGCTCTGGGGAACAAATGGTTCAATTGTTACAACTTGCAGTTTGCTGCACTTTCGAATATCCTAGTAAAAGGCCTTCAATGGCTGCAGTTGCTAATCAAATTAAACATGTCTGTAGATTTGAATAAGGTCAGAGCAATCAATTATGGCCGCCATCTGATATGTTCTGCAATTTCTGTTGCAATTACAAATAAATCAAAATCGAACTGACTGAGAATTGAAGAATTTTTCACCGTATAATCCAAAAGTAAAAAGAAAATCTTCAATTCATGATGATTGATGATCGGTAAATGCATTTATCTTTCTTTCCCTTATCTAGAATCTTACACTACCATATATTTCTAGAGAAAGGTCTGTTCAGTACAGAAAGGCCCATTATGTTGTTTAAGCATAGTGAACTGTTCACCAAATGCAATTTCAATGATCTAATCTGTTTCTGAAACCCGATCAGCCAATACAATCGTTGGATTTTCAACTATGCGCAAAACCATATAACTCCTGGCAACTTTCTGGGAGTTGTAATAATCAACTCACATAGTGTCAACAGACTCAACACTGTGTTCAGATAAGTCAATTTTGTCTTCGTCCGTGAAGAAGTAATCTGAATAATCATTTGATGACATCCAAAAGAGAGAATATTTTGAAGTCTGTTGCAGGTTTTCTTCCAATTTTGTGCGCCACTTGCATCATGAATGATCTGATTATTAGATAATAATGTAAAATGAACATATTGTAAAGGTAATGAACGATTCTGAGCTCTGGGCTTTCTTGCACGAAATTAAAATTGTTAATAGAGAACTATCCTGTGTCCACATGTGGTTAACGTATCTACGCTGCTGCCTTAAATGAAGAAGCTGACTCTGATTTCTATACTAACCTCGGGCAGTTGAGTGCTTTGCACATAAACAGGAGGCGACTAAGTCCAAGTCAAGCATAACAGCATAAAGAACAAGCTAGACAGTTGTATTCACATCGCACTGGGGAATTTCTCTATAATTGTAGTTTCTTTATTCATTGCTGTCCCAATCCATCTGTGAATGCTCATTTCAGCTTAAAGAAAAAGCAACCAGGATCCAATAAGTAGAAGTCAAGATATCCCAATAATCATTTTCATATCCTCCTCCATCCCCCCTCTCCTCAAGTTTATCCAATATCTTCCTCACTGCTTGTGGTCACACTTGTTCAATATATCTTGTTGTGCCGAAATGGCATTGAGTGCTGATATTTCTGGTGTCAAGTTGGTGTTTTTGGGAAATGTTGTTGGAGAGTATGAACTTGAAGACTTGTTGCATTCTGATTTTAGTATGTTGGGCAAGGGAACTCTGGGGATGTCTTACAAAGCAAGATTGGAGTTGGAGGACGAATATACTCTGGCTGTGAAGAGAATGAACGTTGGTAGATTGTCTGAAATGGAATTTAGAGAGAAGATTGAAGAATTAGGCAAAATGGATCATGAAAATTTGCTACCTATCAGGGCATATTGTTGCATTCAAGAGAAAAGAATACTTGTCTATGATTATATTCATATGGGAAGCTTAGCTTATCTCTTGCATGGTAAGCCTTCCAATGCTTCTTCTTTCTTCATCTGCTAGTATCTGCTCATACAATTTCTTGCACTTGTTCTCTGCTGAAATTGAATATTGAGAGTTTTGTTTCCTTTTGATTCTTTTGGTCTGATTTCCTGTTTAGCCCCAGGTTCATATATGCATTCCTAACATTTTACTGGAAAGAAGAGCGAAATTCTGTGAGCATTTTGTGAGCTACTATTTTGATCAGTTCCTTTATCATCTGAATTTGTCTCTTCTGGGTAGCATTTAGGAGAGATCAGAGAAAGCGAGTGCGAGAAGCCTTGTTAGTGAATAATATAAGAGAACTGATCTTACTGTGAGTAACTGGAAAATCATCTGATGAATCCTGGATTGATTGGAAATACTTAATACATCTCAAAGTCACTGATTTAAAGAACTCGAAGTCTATTAGTTTTTTACTGCAGCTACGTTACTTCTACGTACAAGTGTATGGGTATTGGCTTAGAGTGGTCTAATATGAACAAGTAACAAACTACCTCGATGACACAGATTCTTTAAGATAAAATGGAGCGGCCGGTCTTCCATTTCTTCTAGTTGCAGCAACAAATTGGAACTCTCAGAAAGAAATATTATATTTCGACCCAATTTTATTAAGATATGTCAGTGGAGACTGGCGAAGCATTCTTGTTTTTCATAGAATAGGGACAAAATAGGTCATGTATATTGACTTTATCCAAAAATATGTGCTGAAAGAAAGTAAAGAAATGATAAGGGAAGTAATAACCTCTGAGTTAAAAAATTCCTTCTCTGATGTCTGTCTGTTCCCACTTAATACAATGAAGTCCAAAGGTGATCTGAGAGAGACGCTTATTCCTAAAATACTAAATAAATTTATGTACCTGAGGTGTATTCTGTTTTACTCCTTTGTACTTTAGTTTGAACTATATTTTTTCATCCCAATGTGTCTGTTTTTAGTTCCAAATCCCTCTTTTCATAATTGTATTTTGGAGCCAGTCAGAGGTTTGCCAAGTTCGGACTAGCTTAGAGTGAGTAAAATTTACCAGTTATCCATAGAGAAGGTTTTCATTTCAATATATGTCATGGAATGAGCTTTGCAAAATTTAAGCTCTTCTATCTTCTCTCCTTTTCCATTTCTCCTGTCATTGGAATGACAAGTCTATGGTTTTTTATGGTTTCTGAGTTACTTACTCTTTTGCTTCCTAGGAAATGGAGACGCAAATAAGACTCCCCTGAATTGGGACATAAGGTGCAGGATTGCTTATGGAGTCGCTCGCGGTATTGCCTACATCCATACACAAGGATCTAACATTTGCCATGGAAACTTAAGGTCATCCAATGTGTTCTTTAACAGCTCTTTCGATGTCCGAGTTTCTGAGTTTGGCTTAGCTCAACTTGTTCCCGTAGAATCCAAACTGATCCTAAATGAAGGGTATAGAGCACCAGAGGTGACTGGCAACCATGAAGTTTCTCAGAAGTCTGATGTCTACAGCTTTGGAGTCCTGCTCCTGGAATTGCTCACTGGCAAGGCCCCCCTACGTGCTGTTCGCGAACTAGAAGGGATAGACCTAGTTAAGTGGGTAAGGCTGATGTTTCAGGAAAAACCCATTCTTGATGTTTTTGATGATGATCTGGTGCTAAACTATGAGAGCGATGAGGAACAAATGGTTCAGTTGTTACAACTTGCGGTTTGCTGTACTTTCCAGAATCCTAGTAAAAGGCCTTCAATGGCTGCCGTGGCTAATCGAATTGAAGAAATCTGCAGAATTAAGTAAGATACAGCCATGATCAGTCAGTCATAGCTGCAATCAAATATGTAACTTGATCTTACTTGCTATTTGCCAATCACTTGAAACTCCAAAAGTGATGTCTTGTACGAAGCTAAGATAACACGAAACTGATCAACGCATTGTCAAATTTATGGTCAATTATGGAGATCAATCTCTCAGCTTCGCAGCTTTATGTCTCTTCCCCTACTCTTGAATCATGCAAAAACAGTCTCTCAAACCAATCAGGACAACATTCTTTTGTTCCTTCACCTGTGATTATATTTGTTTTAGAACATTAAAAAGTTGTGGAAAGAAATTACAAGAAAAATATGTAGGGGACGAAAATTAGGGGGGGGGAGTGCAAGAGCATTGGCGTCATGGAATAAATTCAAGATTACCCCATAAAAGAATTGGAAATATTGAGCTGGTCTATTAAAAGATTTTCTTTATTATCAAATCATAATTGGAACAGAAAAGGCGGCATTTGTGTACCAAAAATGATCACTGAAACCAACAAGCAATTCACTAACTTCATCAACTAATGCCCATGAAATGTCCGAATATTTGCTCACTAGTTTCCATATCTTGTAACAAGTCAAAGACAACGTTAACGTAATGGCAATGCATAGAAATTTAGCATCTAATGCTTATTTGGGTTAGGTTGACTTGAGTATTTTCTAGTAATACGTCAAAGACTTTGTGCCAAGTACCCTAACTTTCTTTGCTGCAGGTCCATTATACAGATTATAATAAAGGGTCAATATCACACATGTGTTGAACTTTTCTGTTTATCTGCAAACTTCTAAGAGATAATCTGGACAATAATTGCACTACAATTTTCTGGAACATTCAATGATTTGACAGGCACTTTTCCTCTCCTCTTTGTAGTTGAATGAGTCTAATATTTACATTTATCACAAACATTGATGCTCTTGTAGAATGGAAAATCGTAACAAACATGGTGTGGAACACCTACCCTTGGATTTTGGGCTCAACTGAATATTTTCAACAAAAATATCCCATAAAAATCTTTTACAGTTAATTACTTCATGCAGTAAAATTTAGGGTAGCTGCTATATATTATTTTACTTTCCTAGTAATTTTTATTTCTTTATAAACTACACTTGCAGCAGGGTAGCCCTGAGAAATCCATTGAAGTTTATCGAATTCTAACCATTAGTTAGCTTTACCCCCACATTATTTCAATCCAGAAAAACCCAAAACCACCATAAACTATGTCAACCAATACATTGATTACAAAGCAGATGAGCTGTTGATATTAAAAAAAAATGTTGCTGATTTTCTCTGTCTTTTCTTCGTTGACTTCTCATGATTAACGAAGAATAAAAGCATAAATGAAAACTGCAAACAAGGGGAAATAGTATATACCTTTCTCTGAAAACACACAGGAACATAATTACTGATGTTGGATGCATCAGTCTCTAACCATTTTCTGATCCTAACTGCCTTTTGTCTTTTTGCATATTTTTTACTATGTTTGATTAGATGTCGATATAATGAGTCTCTGAAGATCAGGAAAAGAGATTTTGATAAAATATTGCAGCAGCCAGAAATGGTTTATCAGAATCAGACCCCAAGTGCTGGGAGTAAGCTGGTTTTCTTTGGAAATGGAGATGGTGGCTATTCAGTAAAAGAGCTGATGCATTCAGCGTCCAAGGTGTTATGGAAGGGAACTTTTGGAACCAGTTTCAAGACAGAATTGAAGGGTGGAAATGCTGTGATGGTCAAAAGGTTAAAGGGCAGTTGTTCTTCTGAGACAGAATTCAGGGAGAGAGTTCTAGAGATTGGAATTTTGCTTCATGAAAATCTGCTTCCACTCAGAGCATATTGCTGTTATCAGAATGAAAATTTTCTTGTGTATGATTGTATGCGTATGGGAAGCCTGGCAAAGCATTTGCACGGTCAGTTCTCTTATCTTACACTTGCTTATGCAGTTTAGATTACATTTTTCTGTCCTTTCCTGTTCCAAAAAAAAAAAAAAAAGTTGTGTGAGGAGAGGTTTTTCGGATAAAGGTTCGATTCTATTCTGAGCACCTGATACAGGAATTAAAGTTGTTTGCATAATCACAGAAGTTACATGTGTAGTGTCACTCTTGGTTTCGACTCGGCAATACTGATGGAAAATTCAGGATTCTGTCCCCAGGAACCCGCATGATCTTAATAGGATGGAAAATTCTGTTATGAATTCATGATTAATGACCTGTTTGAGTTGCTTAAGCCTAAGAACACACAGATACACACGCACATGTACACACACCGGGACAAACATTCTCTGAATAAAGAACTAGAAGCCAGATGTCTACCATTTTAGACTGTATACCAAGAACCAACTCCTCCAATGTTGTTTTGCGATGCCATCCGGGCTGCTCCTCAACTAACCAACGTTGTTTCCAAATTGCACAATACATCTCCAGTTAAAAAACAGCCCAATCCTGGTCAAGCTGCTCCGCCTGCTTTCCCAAAACTCGTATTCCATTTTTTCTGCACTTTGTTTCAGGGCTTTGCAGAACGGCTTATTTCCTTTGATACAATTTGTTCATCTGTCAGCACATTTAGCAGTTGTCAAGTTTACTTAAATTCTAGCTATTTGCTCTTCAATCAACTACTTTGCAGTAAAGCAGGTGCATCGGAGATGTCAAGGACTAATATGATGCTCTTTCTGCAGATAACTTGTGGCCATTTTCCACAGATAGCAAACACTTAAAAAGTATAGTTTTTAAATTTCTTACACCAATAAAAGAAGATGAACCTGAGCATAAAGATCTAGAATAGGTTTTCTGTGGTTTGTTTTATTTTATTCTTTTTTTCATGAAGATAAGCTCTGAAATCTTACAAAGGACTACACATAGTTTGTCAGTTGACTAGAAATTTCCAAACGTTTAACATGTGAACAGTATATTTATTTTCTTCTATGAAGAAGACCAAATTGGGAAGATATCAGTTTTCAGCGTCATTAATTTACAATGAATCTTCACATAACAATTTGTTGACATGTTTATAGGATCTATATCAACACTTGGAAATTAAGATGCAGGGATTTGTATCCTGAATTAAGTAAAACTCCCAGTTTTTTTCACATTAAAAATTGCTTCGCCCCTAGCTGATATGCATTTTTAAGAAGACTTCACCTTTAATCTAATAAAAATCTCAACTAATTCTGTGTTGTTCAAGCTTGAAATTCAACCCTGATATGAGCCTACTTTCTGACATGTTCTAGTAGCAATTTAAAAAGGAAGGATCAAAACTGTATCTACTAAAAAATTACCAGCTTAAGGGTTAAGGAATGACATATTTAGTGAAGAAGATGAACAATAAAGAACTATAAATATAGGGTTAAATACCAAAAACCCCCTTGTGGTTTGACTAATATTCACTTTACCTCTTTATGGTTTGGAAACCTACAATTTGACTACCCGTCGTTTCAACTAAAGTAAAAGTCTGACGGAAAACATCTAAACTAACGTCTGAAAGGAAAATATCAAAATTGCCCCTCTATAAGTCAAACCCTTGGAAGAATGTTTCGTGCATTTGAGAATGGGTAAAATACCAAAAATCCCCTTGTAGTTTGCCAAATGTACACTTTACCTTCCTATGGTTTGGAAACCTACAATTTAATTCCCTGTCATTTCACTTAAAGTGAAAGTCTGACAGAAATACCGTTATTGTAGATGTTTTCTATTAGACTTTCACTTTAGTTCAAATGACAGGGAATTAAATTGTAAGTTTCCAAATCATAGGGAGGTAAAGTGAACATTAGTCAAACCACAGGGGGGTTTTTGGTATTTAACCCTAAATATTAAGCATTAGGAGGTTACCATTCACCAGTCACATGAGTTGCTCAACAGCATCTTAAATACCAATAGACGGAGATAAATAATTAAGAAGCAGCAAAGTATTATCCTAAACATTCACCTTCTAATAGATTGTTTGCTCTAACTCAGTATTTGCTAAAAACCATGGAGTCAACTTCATCTCAAGGGTTGAACAAGTTGTTGGTGCTTGTGTGGATTCCTGTTTAGTGATTTTGTCTCCTTGACTTCTCCTGCCTAATCTTATATGCTTTGAAGGCAACAAGCTCGGAGTCAATTTAACACATTGACAGGAGTTAATACCTTGCCTTTATAGCCATGATTGTATATCTGCTGCTGTTTCTCGGTTTTATGTCCAATTCCAATTAGAGTAGCTTAGTGCATTTGCTGTTTGCTGTTTGCCTTCACATTATTCTGGTCTAAATTCATCATATGACCATCCCACCTCTATTTTCATGAATTCATGTTCAATGCTATAGGTTCTCAATGCGATACAAATAGCGGAAATTTTAAAACAACTAATTTACTGACATCAAACAAGAAGAAGTACAGAAATCAAGTCTAAAGATGAAACTAGAAGCAAGTAATATGAATAGCTTCTGACTCTGCTACTTTTTCCTGCTGGACACAGGAAAAACATCTCCAAAGGACAGTCCACTTACCTGGCAAGTCAGATGTAAGATAGCTTTTGGAGTTGCCCGGGCTATTCATTATCTCCACACAACTGGTTCAAACATTTGTCATGGAAACATAAGATCATCAAATGTCCTCTTGACTGATACTCTTGATGCCCGCTTGTCAGAGTTTGGCATCGTTAGACTTATTTCACCAGAACATAAACCCGACCTCATTAATGGCTATCGTGCACCAGAAGTGAGAAATGCTCATGAAGTTTCTCAAAAATCTGATGTCTACAGCTTTGGAGTCCTGCTGTTGGAGCTACTAACTGGAATAAAGCCAGTCGGCACCATTTCTCCGACTACCGGTGTTTACCTGGCTGAATGGGTAAGAACAATGATCAGGGAGAAACCAATTCTTGAAGTTTTCGATGATGAACTATTACTCGAGTATCAGGCTGACTTTGAAGGGCAAATGGTTAAACTATTAGAACTTGCAATTTGTTGTACTTTTGAGTATCCAGACAGAAGACCTTTAATGAGTGCTGTATTAAAGCGGATGAGGGAGACTTGTAGTTTAAGCTCTGAAGATTAAATTGTGTTAAGCGCTCATGTTTATCTGAGGCCAACTTTATTTGCATAATCTTGATTCAAGTTTTTAACCGATGAAATTCTGATAGGTGTTATAGTAGCTTGAAAGCAAAGGCAAATAACACCTTGTTGCAGGGTGTACAAAGACAAGTTCTTCTATTTCTCTTCAATGTTTATATTTTTGCTAGTTTCGTTTGCTAAGGTCTTTTTCTGCATACAAATTTGAATTTGGTTAGAATCTGGATACTCTTTTTGAGTACCTTCACTACTGATCTATATTTCTATGACTGGTTTGGTAATAGTCAATTGTTCTTCTAAGTGTTCAAATATAGATTAATGAAAACTTCAGAAGGATAATCTATTGGAACAAAATCAGAAGAATTTAAGCTAGCACTTGATCCATTCTCCTCCCTTTAGCGAACAAAAATCAGCTGATCATCACATATATTGTAGTACATGAGCAAGCCAAATTCTTGTCCAGAATTGGATTGATCAGTTAGATTGACCTGTTTTTTTTATAGCTGAGCAGACAAGGATCAAAGGATTAGTACAAAACACCAGAACCTGTGTTATTGGCTTATTGGTTTGTGCAACACTTTTTGACTGTTAACACAATATGTGCACAAATATAATGCAGAAACAGCAAATACCTAACACCCTGTCATTTCCTTTTTGTTTCTTTTTCTTTGCCTTTATTCTGCTTGGCAGATTGCAAGATATCTTTTATATATACATATATATATATATATATATATATATTTCAATTATGGCAGCAACAATGCAGAGAAGAGAACTAGGCCAGATTGGAATGAAGATACGTAAATGTTGAGTAACTTAAATGTTGGCACCAAACCAGCCAAAAAAAAAAAAGTTGTAAGGGTATTTAACATTTATTACGTAGAAACCGGAGTTAACTCTTGATAAATCATTTACAAAGCACACCGAATTATAATTATAAAACCTGCACAATTTAATGAATGTGAAACTCAATTGCAACAGGAAAAATAATTGAACTAGCAAATAACACCCATATTCCAACAAGAAATATAATAGTGCCAACCAAACTTAACTCTAGTCAAGTTTCTAAGAGGAAATAAGAAACTTCTACCTTTAAGTGGTGTTATATTATTATACCAACCTTAACCTTGATTATTGGGAACCATTACTTTTCCCCAAGAAAACAAAAGTGCACAAACATTTCTTAGACCCTTCCAATATAATATTCAAAGAAAAAAAGGTTAATTTCATTTTACAGCTCTCAATTATGCTCCAATTTTCACTTTGGTTTCTAAATTCTAAATACTTTAATTCTTAAACAGGATCTCGATTCTCACTTTGATCTCTTAACTCTAAATTGGAACACTTTACTCCCTAAACTATATTGCGATTCCTGTTTTGGTTCCCCAAAATCCTTCTTCAATCTAACTTTTAGAATTCTTGTGGTTATTTTTAATCTAATTTCCCTTTTACAATCTCGCAACATATAATCATGCTGCTCAAATGACTGGTATTTTGTTAGTTTCGAGGATTCTGCTGATGATTGTACTTAAGTGGGACAGTTTTCATAGTTAAGGGGTGCCAATTGGAATTAACCCAAAGATAAGAATGCAATCTCTGAAACCCAAGCTGACATGGCATAACATCGAGGATCAGTGGGCCCTATGACAACAAAACAGGCAACGCGCCAATTACTAAATCCATGCTACAGGTTTTTCCTTCCTAAAGAATCAGTCGCCGACCTATTAACTAATAGCCTGCCCAAATTCTTCTTCCTTAAATTCTTCCTTCCCGGCTTAGATTTCTCCGACTCTTCTGCCCATTTTTCACTCCTTTGTATACTTCCATACCCTGTAATCCCTTTGTTTTAATACAAAAACCTCAACCAAACTCCCATTTGGTGGAAAAAAAATAGTAATAAACAGCCTTCAAAATCTATTCTTGCTGAAAAGATACCTGAAAATCCGAGGCTTTTCTTTCTAATTTTCTGCCAGAATTTATAGATTCTGTTGAAGTTCAATACGAAAACCTGTACCAAACTCCCAATTGGTGGAAAAAGCAATACACAGCCGTCGAAATCCTGAATTGGATCCTTGCAGAAAAGGTACTTGAATTCAGAGACTTTTCTTTCTAATTTTCTGCAAGAATTATAGATTTTGTTGAAGTCCCTTGAATCGTTTTGGCCAAGTTAGCTTGAATTCAGCAGCATCCTTGATTTAGGGAAGCGGGTTCTAGAAAGATGGATGATATGAAGGATAAAGTCAAGGGGTTCATGAAGAAAGTCAACAATCCATTTACTTCTTCCTCTTCAGGTAAGTTCAAGGGCCAGGGTAGAACCTTGGGCTCTTCTGCACCATCATCTTCCGCACCCACAAGTTCCATTCCTTCAAGAATTATTCCACCACCAGTTATTGATTCCACTAAAAGCAAGATTTCATCAAGTTCATCAAATTCTAGACCTAACGTGAATGGTAGTAGCAATCTCTCTGATAAGAAAATTGAAAACAAAAAGAGTGAAATAAGGACTCATACGAATGAGAATGGGAAGGTGAGAAATGGGTTTGATCCATTTGATTCATTGATTACGTCTACGAAGAGAAATCCAAATGGTTATGAGTTAAATGTGGTTGAATGTCCTGTTTGTGGTAAAGGGTATGGTTCTGAAGAGGAGGTGGCTGGCCATATTGAAAATTGTTTGAAAGCTTCCGAGGTGAAAAGTGAATGTTTGGGGAAGGAATTTGATGATGGTGATGGCAGGGAGGAGGCAAAAGGTGAGTTGGAGGTTTGTGTTGGTGCATATGTTTCTGGGAAGCCGTCTGAGGGATCAATGGATGTGGTACTTAAGCTTTTGAAGAATGTAGTTAGGGAGCCAGAAAATGGAAAGTTTAGGAAGATTAGGATGGGGAATCCTAAGATAAAAGAGGCGATAGGTGATGTTGTGGGAGCTGTGGAATTGTTGGAATGTGTGGGGTTTAACTTGAATGAAGATGGTGAGGAAATGTGGGCTGTGATGGATGTTCCATCTAAGGAGCAGCTTGGTTTAATCCAGGGTGCAATTTCTTTACTGGAGCCGCAAAAAGTTGAAGAATCACCGTCTACAGCTCCAGCTAAGGTGGATGAGCCAGACGATCCAAAGGAGATTGACAGACAGGTATAGAGTTTTGTTTATTTAACTCTTTTTTGTTGTGTAGTTATTCTTTGTCTACTGCAGTGTCACTTACTTTGTTAATTGTTGGAACAGCTTGTGCTTTTACTTCATATGTTGTGTATTACCCATTTTGGCTTCTAAACTTGTCTCTTTCTTGTGGGATGCTAAATAGGCTAGGATGATAATCAAGTAGGACTAGAAAGAGACGAAACAGAAATTCTTGCATACATTATGATTTATTTTTGGATCTTTAAATCCAAGTAGATATATTCATGCAAAATAAAAAAGAAAACTTTCAGCTTCTTGATGAAGCTGTGGTCATAACCTTAGTTCTCCTGTTTGATGGATGAACTTTTTTTCTTCCTAATAGCCGGGGCCCCTGCTCTTCAAAATCTCCTGGTGCATTTTCTGAAGGACCAGTACCCCAAGGAAAACAAAAAATGAAACAATGAAGATCTCCAATATGATGGTGAATAATGTTGAGTATTAACATTTATTTCAGCCAAAAAAAAAACCTTCATTTTGTCTGAAAAATACTAGATACGTACAAGCAGCATTATATCCTTAGATCAGGATTTTTCTCTTTTTGTGTTGAAACTAAAATTGTGATGTGGAGAGTATTTTTTTCACCTATCAAGATGGAGCATGCTCATGGTATGAATTTATGATTATGTTTTTCTATTGTTCTCTTTTGCTGGAAAAAAAAGATCCGTAACATATATATTATTAGAGACAACTCAAGCTGATTGTTGAACATGGCCCTTTCTTAATGCTGCATATATGGTCACCATTATACTATTATTTTCATTGCTGAGGCATTGGGACTAGTGGTTTTCAGAGTTTGAGTTGTGTTGACCATGTAAATTAGCTTCAGGCATCCACATAGAATAGATATTTAATTGTAGATATCATAGCAAGTTTGCTATAATGCTTAATGTGGAGCAAATGAATGTTTGGTATTTTCTGCAAACGTCTCCTAAGGCCTCTTACTTGGTATGAAAATCTTATTTTGGTAATTTATCTTGCTTTCCCACCTTGTACCTTTGTTTCATCTCTGGAAGGGAAACATCCACTTTCTTCAACTGTTTAATTGACTGGTATCGTACCCCATGAAGAGCATCATCGCAATCAGTTCTTAGTTTCATGAAAACCCCAATATAAGTTGCTTTCCATACAATTTCTGGAAATATACTTCACAATGTAATTGCAGTCGCTAGATCTTTGTCATTTTGCAAGAATATAGTCCCAGGAGTAGCCACTGCTTAACTAGTCATAGTTATAGTTTTTCCGTCCAAGATTGAAGGGATAAGTACTACAAAGAAAAGCTGAAAACCTCAGGAAAAGATGTGCAAGGATGATTTCCTGATAGCTTTGATGTCAATTATATCTTTGAGATTCTATACAACAGTGAAACCCTGACTTGTGCATGTTATAGAGCAAATCTAACTTTTGTGGATACCTCGAGTCCCATAAAAGTGGTAGAGGTCTAATGCTGAACCCCATCATTCCATGGTGTTCTTAATACTGGGAAAAAGAGAAGGAGAATCCTTGAGAATTTTGACATTGAGGATGGAGATGGAAGAGCATTGCTTGCATACTGCCAAGTAGGGGGTAAAATTGAAAAAATGATAATTTCCCTCTTGGACCTTTTGTTTGTAAGTTAAGACCTTAAAATTGATTATTGTAATTTCGTCGCTGATAATTTGTTTCCATTTCAAGTAGGTTTTATACACCTTTGATGTAGGAACATCTCTTGGTTTACTCTCTTATCTGTTCAACCTCCTGTTTTACATCTCACTGTACCAAGAAGTCGTATTTAATCCTTTTCTGAAGGTACAGATTGTACTTTATATTTTGTATGTTGCTTATATGCTAAATGCTTTATCTTGGC